TATATGCCATGCCCACTGCGAGTCGACTTGTTCGATTGTTTTTACACTTAGATGGCTACACTTGTACTAAGTATCCAATGAGCCAATTCGCCCATTCACCCTTTTCATCGATTTGCGAAAATATTTAACGTTATCCTAATTTGCTGTTAAAGATAACACCATCTATATTTATAGTACTAGTAAGAATACGTTTTTTCCCGCCAATTCAAGGACAGGTGAAATCAGGACTAGAAGAGCCATCTATGGACAGAGATATTTCACAAAAATATAAAAAATGAGCACTGCATTCTCCCCATTTTTTGTTCATTTTCCCCGGCGGCAATGGGTTAAAAACAATATCTTCTTCGATATATTGATTTCAATATCAAGTTTTTATGTTTAAATTGTAATTTGATCCACTTTTGTTGGATGTCTTTTTTATTTGTTTATTTCAATCTAATTTGGGATTATTGGGTTACATGTTTCTTGTATTTCTATTGCAAGACCTTTCTTGCTCTTTCACTTGTAAAAAGCAACATTTTGTAAAAGGTTTGTAGAAAATATTTTTTTACACGCACAAAATGCTTTTGTGTTCATATCTAACAACTATATGTATGTATATATATATATATATATATATATATATATATATATATATGTATCTGTGTGTGTGTGTGTGTGTGTGTGTGTGTGTGTGTGTGTGTGTGTGTGTGTCTGTGTATGTGTGTGTGTGTGTGTGTGTGTGTGTGTGTGTATGTGTTTGTATGTGTGTGTGTGTGTGTGTGTGTGTGTGTGTGTGTGTGTGTGCATGCATATATATATATATATATATATATATATATATATATATATATATATATATGTCTATATATATATATATATATATATGTCTATATATATATATATATATATATATATATATATATATATATATATATATATATATATGCCCATATCTAAATTTTATTTCTAACAAAAACTAATACAAGAAATTAGTTATCTTTTCTGCAGACTATGACACCTTCATGTAAACATTCAATGTTACTTTCCTACATTCTATTCATTTCTCCTATTCAAATAGCTATTTAAATCTATTAAAAGAGCTCATTCATTATGATTTGGATTATACCCTACTAGTATTAAAAAGAGTTTCTGCCTGGCTTTAACTAATCACTAAGATTCTAAAATTAAATGTTTATTGCTCACTATAGCAATGATATAGGTGTATCGGATATGGAGCCAATATTCTAATTTTCAGTATGTCCGTGTATTGTAATTCTATCTGCAATGATGATATGTTTATCTGAGTCATAAGGAGTTTTAAATTGGTTATTTATTTTACAGAATTATGACTTATATATTTCTTTGAATTATGATCATATTTCATGTATGCAATATAGTTTTTAGATAAAGGTTTCAACATATTTTAGGTTATACCGAAAGAGATTAATGTACAGTTAATTTACTGACTGAGCATAAACAAGTTCTAATCGTCCCCCTCAGAGATATTCCCTCGTTTGGCATGTATATGATTCTGTATGAAGGCTTCATCAGGACTCTGTGTGGCTCAGAGCAGAGTGCCAGCCCAAGCTCTCTCGTGTTCTGTGGAGGAATGGCAGGTAGGGAGCAGGAAGTTCCTATAGACGTTCATTTCCTTACGTTCACTTATAGGCTTCCTGTTGAGATGAAGCTCGTTCTTGATGTAAAATATTTAACAGTTTGAGACAATGATTTGAGATTGTTATTTCTTTATACAAAAAAAGGTGGTTGTAGTTGCTTTAACCATGTTGCACCCTTTGCATTTTGTGAATTTATTCGCTGTAACGGCATGTGCATGGTATGATGCATGATTTTTGTGGCTTCACATATTCCTATTTTCATTGTAGTTGTGGTTCGTTTTAAGTGTTCGATTTTCATTTATTTTAAATCTATTAAAGACTGTTTTAATTTTAATGCTTTTAGGCTATAGAGGGGATGTTATCCAAAGAATAATATCACTAATGATATTAGCATCTTGAATTTGGATTTCACTGTTAATATTTACTTCATATATATATGTATATATATATATATATATATATATATATATATATATATATATATATATATATATATATATATATATTTTTTTTTTTTTTTTTTTTTTTTTTTTTTTTTTTGCACACCCACGTGTGTGTGTGTGTGCACATATATGGGAATGAGTAGTATGAAATATGTTTTTTTATCTTTCATTTTGTAGTTGTGATAGAACTTTTGCTGAAATCATTATTCACATGTAAGTAATGTTTTATTCCAAACTCTTGTAAATTTGACATATTTACTATTCAAGATTAGTTTCTGGTTAATTCAGATGTTGAATAAGCATTTCATTTTATACCATTACCATTTCCCTTTAGAATAAGCCTTCTTCACATAACTATCCCAATGAATAAACCTACATTTCATTATTTTGTTGCACTCCATATTTCCCGTTGGATAAACCAGCCACCGAGCAAATCGTCCTACATTGCCTATTCCCCTA